GGGGGGCGAATATCGTAAACAATTTAGAGAAGTTAAAATCCTAAACTGCTTAAAGAAGCTAAAAACCTAAACTGTTTAGAGAAGTTAAAAACCTAAACTGTTTAGAGAAGTTAAAAACCTAAACTGTTTAGAGAAGTTAAAAACCTAAACTGTTTAGAGAAGTTAAAAACCTAAACTGTTTAGAGAAGTTGAAAATCTAAACTGTTTAGAGAAGTTGAAAACCTAAACTGTTTAGAGAAGTTAAAAACCTAAACTGTTTAGAGAAGTTAAAAACCTAAACTGTTTAGAGAAGTTGAAAACCTAAACTGTTTAGAGAAGTTAAAAACCTAAACTGTTTAGAGAAGTTAAAAACCTAAACTGTTTAGAGAAGTTAAAAACCTAAACTGTTTAGAGAAGTTGAAAATCTAAACTGTTTAGAGAAGTTGAAAACCTAAACTGTTTAGAGAAGTTAAAAACCTAAACTGTTTAGAGAAGTTAAAAACCTAAACTGTTTAGAGAAGTTGAAAACCTAAACTGTTTAGAGAAGTTGAAAACCTAAACTGTTTAGAGAAGTTGAAAACCTAAACTGTTTAGAGAAGTTAAAAACCTAAACTGTTTAGAGAAGTTGAAAATCTCAACTGTTTAGAGAAGTTGAAAATCTAAACTGTTTAGAGAAGTTGAAAATCTAAACTGTTTAGAGAAGTTGAAAATCTAAACTGTTTAGAGAAGTTGAAAATCTAAACTGTTTAGAGAAGTTGAAAATCTAAACTGTTTAGAGAAGTTGGAAACCTAAACTGTTTAGAGAAGTTAAAAACCTAAACTGTTTAGAGAAGTTAAAAACCTAAACTGTTTAGAGAAGTTAAAAACCTAAACTGTTTAGAGAAGTTAAAAACCTAAACTGTTTAGAGAAGTTGAAAACCTAAACTGTTTAGAGAAGTTGAAAATCTAAACTGTTTAGAGAAGTTGAAAATCTAAACTGTTTAGAGAAGTTGAAAATCTAAACTGTTTAGAGAAGTTGAAAATCTAAACTGTTTAGAGAAGTTGAAAATCTAAACTGTTTAGAGAAGTTAAAAACCTAAACAGTTTAGAGAAGTTAAAAACCTAAACTGTTTAGAGAAGTTAAAAACCTAAACAGTTTAGAGAAGTTAAAAACCTAAACTGTTTAGAGAAGTTAAAAACCTAAACTGTTTAGAGAAGTTGAAAATCTAAACTGTTTAGAGAAGTTGAAAATCTAAACTGTTTAGAGAAGTTGAAAATCTAAACTGTTTAGAGAAGTTAAAAACCTAAACTGTTTAGAGAAGTTAAAAACCTAAACTGTTTAGAGAAGTTAAAAACCTAAACTGTTTAGAGAAGTTAAAAACCTAAACAGTTTAGAGAAGTTAAAAACCTAAACTGTTTAGAGAAGTTAAAAACCTAAACTGTTTAGAGAAGTTGAAAACGTAAACTGTTTAGAGAAGTTGAAAACGTAAACTGTTTAGAGAAGTTGGAAACGTAAACTGTTTAGAGAAGTTGGAAACGTAAACTGTTTACAGAAGTTAAAAACAGACGGTCGGTGTTTTTCTGCATGTTTTGAGAAGGAATGGACACGAGGAGTAGGCAATGGCTCTAGATACTGACGAATAAAGAATTACGAGGAGTGGAAGGCAGAGAGATAGGTATATGGGGTTGGGGCAAGAACATTGACTTGATCTGTGATTCTGCTGATCGTTAAAGACAGCAACACGTGACAGCCTGCGCTGCTTGGCACGGCCCATGATAATAATGACTAGTTCTGCGTTCGTGGACGCCAGTTGAATAATTTTGAAAACCACTAATGTCAAATGATCACCACCCTGGTGCCTTAAAGGAAATGGAAGTAGGGAACGAGAGAGATCCAGAAGACGACCGGAAGGAGAATTTATAGGCAGACCTACAAACATTGGGATTTAGCAACTGCAAAGAGAGGAGCAACCAGAGAGAAGAACAGAGGCGGCAGATATCAGGAATAGAGAAGCTCAAGCCTCGGATTGCTGCTAAAGAAGAAATACGAGGCTAAAGCTTGGCTCAGATTTTTTGTGTAGGGGAGGGGGGGGGGGGGGGGGTAGGGGGAGGAATGGTACCAATAGAGACAAAAAGGTACCACATTTTGTGATTTAAAAAAAACCCCATTAAAACGTGTTTAACACACACACACACACACTCACACTCACACACACACACTCACACTCACACACACACTCACACACACTCACACACACTCACACACACACTCACACACACACTCACACACACACACACACTCACTCACACACACACTCACACACACACCCACACACACACTCACACACACACTCACTCACACTCACACACACACACTCACTCACACACACACTCACACACACACTCACACACACACACACTCACACACACACTCATACACACACTCACACACACACACACACACACTCACACACACACTCACACACACACTCACTCACACACACACAGACACACACACACACACACACTCACACACACACACTCACACACTCACACACACACTCACACACACAACCGGCTTAGCTTATGTTTGATCATAATTATAATACTGTGTCCATTACATCATAGCAGTAGTATCCCCCTTCATCCCTCCTCACACCCCCTCCTTCCCTTTTCTTCTCTCACCCGTTCAGTTTATTACAAAGCTGTTGTGGCGGCTTCTATTTGGTACAGCTAATGTCGCAGAGCTGTATTTTTAAATTACATCAATGCATTCATTGTTGAAGTGTTTACAGAAAAGCTATTACAAGAAAACCAATCTTACAACCGTTGAGCAGAGAGAAAACTCTCTACAGATAAAGCTGAATGAGGCTGTACCAAAAGACAGCATAAATTTAGATACTAATGGAAAGCGATTTTATCTCCATGTTGTTTTACTGAAATTGTAAACCAAATTGTTTCTGGCTTTTTTTTTTCTTTCAGCTTAGAAAGGTAGTTAGTATCCTTTGGATATTTACTCCAGGTTATGATGGTGTGCTGGGAGATGAGCAGGCTGATAGATTGGCTGGCTCGGCACCACTTGGTGGTGAATTGATGTATGATAAGCTGGATATTGTGAGGGCCTTTTGGGAACGAGTGAACAGTGCGGAGGCGCAGATAGATCATTACGGTCTGAGGAGAATGGCGTTGCGAGGAGTTACCAGGGGATCTAACAGACGCTCATCACTCAAGAGAAAGACGAGACGGATATACAATCAGACAGTTACTGGTGCAATCGGAATTACAACTATTTGTTTGCTGCTGAAGATGGGGACGGGGCGCTTTTGTGGTGTCCTGATTGGTGTGATATCAATTCTTAATTCAAAATTCTTCAGCTTTAGAAGGTTGATCTTGCACAGTTACCCTCCATTATTTTCTATTTAGTTGTTCATAACGTTATTCTTGAACAAGGCTGGGAAATTACATGACCTTGGCATAATGGACATGGTTTTCCTTCAGTAACACTTACTGGATCTAGGGTACAATGCCACCATTAAAATATTGAATGCAACATTTCTGAAACCTATCAAACCATCGGGCGTGGTACCAGAAAATACAGTTTTGCTTGCAAAGATCTAATAGTACAAAACTTGTACGAATGTACCAGTTTCGACAGCCCTGCTCTAGCGTCACCAGCCTCATAACAGTGAACATCGCACATTTTTTTTAGGAATGTCTAGAAATTTGCTGCCAGTAACAGGCGATGACAAAGAATCGTGTATGCGAGTAGAACTAGACAGCTTTATGTATCTTAATCTTAACGTTAATATAAACTTTGCTGCTGGAAAGCATTGATCAGCATACGATGCAAACCAACAATGATACAATTACAAACAAGAAAAGACAAAGGCTTTCATTGATATTCATTACACGTCTGAACAGTATAAACTCTGAGTGCACATATTATAGGAAAAGATACCTGATAGAGAGTAACCAGAGAGGTCTCAGATGTATGCATAAGAGTCACGACAAGGGAGGCAACTCTATAATGGTTAGATAAAGATTTTTTAAACGTTAAGACCTTTAGGAGTTAGATAACCCATAAAAAATTATATTATATATTATATCTCTATCGAACGCCACACAAGTACTACTGCCAATCACAGAAACTAGCAGTCACTCCAACTCTAAGCAACACAGAGTTGGATAAGTCACAGTCGCTTGTCCTCGAATCGTCTCCTCAAATATCTCGCCTGTTCATTCGTTTTATTGTGCCTCCACAGTTTAGCTCTCGACTGCTCGGACTTGTGAATTCTCCCGAGCGAACTACTCAGTCCGTCATGAATTATACGGCCGTCTGTTTGTCTAGCTGAACTCCGGTTCATGTCTCAGTCACTTAGTATAGACATGAAGATTCACCACTATCATTCCCTTCATCACATACCGGCACCAGACTTTGACACAGAGATAAGATGTTTCTCGAGAGACTTGCGGACTGTATTTTAAAAATGACTATAGACTTCGTGGGTTAGGCTCACGTTAATCTCCCCAAACAAAGTAGGTCAATTTTCTTCATAAGTTTGTTGGGCTGGTCAACTTTCCTGAAGGTTACGGGTGTGTCCTGCCCTATTGTTTGCTTACTGTGGTGTCTTGCATTTATATTTTCATTCCGAGGAAGAAAATGCCTGTGACATCGGTTGCAGCAATCTCTATGGGTGTTGTGTTAGGACCCGTTGGTCAATGTTTTTAGAGCGTTAAAAGCGCTAGCGTGCTGAAATATAGAACACGCGATATCAACGGTATCGTGGAAACACGCCCTCCCCCATAACCTTGTGGGAAGGTCACGGGGCTCAGGAACTACCAATCAGAAGTGAGTTAGTGTGTATATCGGTGGGCCGTAGGGAGACTAACGTTACTTTTACTGACTTAGAATATTATCTGTTTAAACTGTCTGTTAGCAGCTTTCTCTATTTGTTTATGCTTCATTTGCCTAATATAGAATATTCTAAATTACCACTCAGGTCGCCAGTGAGTGAAAGCCACGCTCCCTGTCTCTCGTGGACATGATAAGTAACGAACTACGATTGGAGCACTTTGACCACGCCCACAAGACACGCCACGTCAAAATTAGCCCCATGATGCGGGCATTCAACCCCCACAATGCAGGCGGGGTCGACGGCAAGCCGTCCAAGCTGGAGCTGATGCGAGCTGACTACCAGCGGAAGCTGATGAAGGAGAAAGAAGAGAAGATGATTCAGATGTATGAGGACAACCAGAGAAAAGTCATGAGCAGAATGGGTCGTGGAGGCGGGGCTGGGGAAGGCAGAAGTAAGTGATGGGATCTGTGAAGTGTTGGTATGTTAAGGATCACTTTTCTTGCACTTGGTTACTTTCATGTGTGAATCAGTCTTCTGACATAAGTCAGCCAGGCATTGTCTCTAAGATGAAGAACCTGCCATCGATCTTCAAAACTCACTGCCATTCGCACGTGGGGCACTTTCTCAAACTGCTATTCGCCCATCTTTTGATTTTGTCCTATCACTCATATCTGCCCGGCTTGCTAGCTCAGTTGGTTAGACCTGACTGCGCGGCGACCTGGTGACGAGCTCCATGTGGTCTGGAAGTAGGCAGAAAAGCCGCATTTCTCCCAGATTTACGGTATCTATGTCGGACTCAAGGCCGACCTGTTGTGATATCCATAGTACCAAACATAAGGGTTAACAACTCATGGTTTCCGGATATTAAACAGAAAAAATCAATTTCGATCATTTTTTCACACATCTTCTTCTCTACAAATGCTTTTTAAAGTGGCGTCTTTCATGATCTTAGTATATTTTTTATTTGTCTTTTTTTAAAAAGTTTTTAATTGCCATATTAGCAGGTAATCTGGTAATCTGGTAATCCTAGTTTCAGCTTCATGGCAAACGGACCACCCCACAGTTGCTCCGCTTCTGTGCCAATGAAAAACAAACGCAGCTCATTTTAGCAGGGATTTGGACGAGGGAGGGTGAACGATTGGGGGGGGGGGGGGGATATGGGTTATGTCCTTGAGTCTGGGGATTAGAGGCACGTGGCTAGAGCAGCTCCTCACTACACTCAGAGGAAAGGCAAGACCGACATATAACCAGATTGCGACCAGTACCATCAGTACTGGAACTCTGCGCTGGCTGCTGAAAATGAGGACGGAGCATGCATGGGAATGCTCCGAATCCTGTGATGTCAGTTCAAGTGTCAACTCAACTCAACTCAGCTGCTAGAGCAACCGCCACGAATTGTGCAGATTAAGTTTTTTTTTAAATAATTATTTTAGCCCTCGGCGGAAAAGGGAGGGGGGGGGGGGAGGGATGCTATTACGAGAGGTTTTAAAACATAAACATTAGGATATTGATAAAATTACAGTAACGATGCCATTGTCTTGTAACCTGTCAATATTGTTGCTAAGGATGTCAAGAGTGTTAAGCTCGTGATATCACAATGCAGAAAAAGTTTAAAGATGTCCACCTCACTTTTGACAGGCACCAATAAGAAACCGCGCTTTAATTTTAAGCCCCCCCCCCCCCAAATCCTCCTCCCCATACTCTTCTGACGATTCGAACCTGGCTACTGAATGAAAGCCTGGTCTTATAACCATCAGCCATCCGCTCCTTGTAGGCCAGATGCGTGTATTAATTACAATTTTACTTCATCTTATACTTACTTTTTTTGATGCCACTATTATCTTTACTGTCTAGCTGATTTTTTTTTTTTTTTACAGTTACTCAAAATGGCGCTCAAAATGGCGCTAATGGAACTGGTAGCGGAAAATCTGTTCGGGACTTTTTCAACGAAAGACGTCGAATGGAGGCCAAGGAGATCTCTTCTACTGCCCACTCTTACAGACAAACTAAAGAGCTGCCTTCTCCTACAGAGTGGCCTAGCAGGGTAGACAGCAGCAACACCCCGAAGAAGTCAAAAGCCAGCGCAGGGAGAGACAGATCGCAGCCTTTAGCACCGATTCGCCGACCTCACGTAGAACCTCAAGAAACCGGAAATCCCGTCAAATCGGGAATTCCGCAGAAATTTCCTGTCCCGCCTACAGAAAATAGAGAGGGAAATCCTTTCCCGGTTCGAGCACGTTTGGTTAAACATAAGCCTCTACCCCCTGCGGGAAATCACCACTTTGATAATAAATACAACGGCGGTGCTGGGGATTTCAACAGTACACAGCCGGCATCGACTGGACACAAACCCTTGACCCGAAAGCCTCCTCAAGTCACACAGAATAAGCTAGAGAAGCTTCAAAAGGACAACTCGTTACTTTCTCGAGCTCCAGAAAAATTAACGGACTTTCAGAAGTGGCAGGCGGAGCAGAGCCAGGCAAGGGAGGAGCGGTTAAAGAAGGTTAACAGTCTAAGACATGCGAACAACGGCAACGGTGGAGTATGGAAGAACTCTGACGATGAGTCTCTAGATGACAATGAGGATGTCAAAGGTGAAGGCCTTGACAGCGGAAGGGGAAACAACTTAGACGAGAAGATGAAAGCCAAGGAGAAGGAACTCTTGGAGAAGATCGCCAAACGACAGAGAGAGTTGGAAGAGATCAAGAATGAGAGGGAGGTACAAGACGAAGAGGTAAAGATTCCGTTAGTTTATCCAGTTATAAACATTTATATGTGTTTTTAACCTATAAATCTTATGTCCATCAACCCTAAAACTTGGTGCCAGAAAATGTTCCAGTTATCAGAAGCGGTCAGCGTCATTCTGCATGCATTGACACGTGCCTCACCCACCCAACAGGACCGTCTTAACACATGGGCCTGCTAGGACCTTTCCCTGAGGCCCCACCATAGGCCCCTGTGCTAATCGGGGTATTTCAAGTGACTTGCCATAAATAGAAATGCCATTCATTTCGGGAAAAGATAAAGGTAAAGTCGGGAGATGTGAACCACGTCATGTCACACGGTTATAAACCATAAGTTCTCTGGCACCAGTATGGACAGCTGATAAAAAAACGGTTTGCCTGTGTCGCCGTCTGCACGAAACTCCGTAGCTATAGCGACGTTCCTCCATTTACCCCAGAGTGATAACTAGTACCCATTTCCTAGAGGCTGGGTGAACCCCGGGAATCGCCCGGTTTCTAACACCGATCATGGGCTGCAGTGAGTTGCAGCTGGATTTGAAAGCGAGTTCCCTATCAACTGTGCTAACGCGGCTCCCGTTCCTGTGAGTGGTTGTCGTTAGGGCCCCACCACACTAGTTTGATTAGGGCCCCACATTGCTGCTAATACTGATCTGGGTCGTAGTTAAACCAGCCGGGTAAAGCTGTTTCGGACGTTCCAATTATAACTTCTCTAGTGGTTGAACGTAGAAGGCGAAGTAGAAGTGCGTCTGTGTGAGAGACCAGGAACCAACAGTCTGCATACAAATATAAGCCAGATCTGTAAAACGGATGTTCACGCAAAACTCAAGTACTGGATCAAGACCAATGTCCAGGCGTGGACGAACGACCAGAACTTTTCGCCAAAGTTGACAGCAAGTGAACGCTAGGAAGAAGAAGAAGCAGAGACCTAGCTACATCGTTAATATCCCTCTCCGCTGTCCCCAAATTCCGATACCGGTCTTGCTGCTTCCTGAGCTCGTAAAAGGGAAAGAGAACTTTACAACACAATCCCCGCGAAGTCTGTCATTCGTAGCCACGTCTTGGAGAAGGTCTGAATGTCAACACAACCGCTGTAGATGCACGTCCTATCCTGGGCTGAAATGACATGGAGGTCAGTGTAAAGCGGATTAAGGGTTAGTGTAAAGCGACATGAGGGTCAGTATAAAACGACATGAGCGTTAGTGTAAAGCGACTTGAGCGTTGGTGTAAAACGACATGAGCGTTAGTGTAAAGCGACATGAGCGTTAGTGTGAAGCGACTTTGGGGTCAGTGTGAAGCGGATTGAGGGTTAGTGTAAAGCGACATGAGGGTCAATATAAAACGACATGAGCGTTAGTGTAAAGCGACTTGAGCGTTGGTGTAAAACGACATGAGCGTTAGTGTAAAGCGACATGAGCGTTAGTGTGAAGCGACTTTGGGGTCAGTGTGAAGCGGATTGAGGGTTAGTGTAAAGCGACATGAGGGTCAATATAAAACGACATGAGCGTTAGTGTAAAGCGACTTGAGCGTTGGTGTAAAACGACATGAGCGTTAGTGTAAAGCGACTTGAGCGTTGGTGTAAAACGACATGAGCGTTAGTGTAAAGCGACTTGAGCGTTGGTGTAAAACGACATGAGCGTTAGTGTAAAGCGACTTGAGCGTTGGTGTAAAACGACATGAGCGTTAGTGTAAAGCGACATGAGCGTTAGTGTGAAGCGACTTTGGGGTCAGTGTGAAGCGACTTGGGGGTCAGTGTAAAGCGACTTGGGGGTCAGTGTAAAGCGACTTGAGGGTCAGTGTAAAGCGACTTGAGGGTTACAGCAATGCTGTCCTGAGGATTTGACAGACAGATTAACAGGCCAACAGGCATACGTACAGATTGACGGATAGGTGTCCAAGAGACAGGGAGAGATAATGATAGATAATTGGAAACATAATGAGATAGACAGAGAGAGAGAGAGAGAGAGAGAGAGAGAGAGAGAGAGAGAGAGATAATGAGAGAGAAATAGAGTGAATGAGGAAATGATGAGAGAGAGAACGTGAGACCGAATGAGACAGAGACAGAGAGAATTAGAGAGAGAGAGAGAGGGGGGGAGAGAGAGAGAGAGAGAGAGAGAAGAGCAGACATAATGTGTGTCTATGAGAGAGAGAGAGAATGCATTTGCACCTAGGCTGGTCTTGCATTCCTTCCTTCCAACTTCCAGCCACTCCTCGCTTACTCATTAACTACTTTTGCGTGTTATATCGAGTGTTTTACTCGGCGCGGAACCCAGTATTTCATTCATAGCTGGGACACTAATAAAGACACGACAACGACATTTGGAGTGGACCTACCCCCGTCCAAGCAAGTCAGGTGACATCATAATAAGTGCTGGAAAGGGTTTACGCCAACAAATCGCTAACTATAGAGGCATTTAAGGCAAACATCTGTGTCGCCTCACAATGGAAACTATGGCTGTAACTAGGGCATTAGCATGGCTTGGTACTCAAAAGCTCACACACGTATGCATTCTTAATGACTCGATGAATATGCTTAAAAAACTCAAATCTGGATTTATCAGGCAAGAATGGATTGCAACATAAGTACTTCACGAATATCTGCCCTAACCTTCATTTTTGTGCCAGGTCATGCGGGTATTCAATTAAACGAGCGTGCAGACTATCTTGCTGACACTGCGGTTGCCATGGCTGGTCCAGTACTGGACAGCAGTGATGTTATCAATGCCTGAAGCTGCAAGAAATGAACATTTCACTAAGGGGACAAGACGTTTCATTAACCAACACAGAACAAGCGTTATCAGTTGTTTTACACTTGTGGAGCTTTTGAGGAGAAGATCGGAGCACCTATGGATCTGTCCGGAGTGCTGTGATGATAATACTTTCTAATCACGAATCACTAATCTATGCAGCCATCTAGGCAATGACACCTGACGTACTGAAACTCTCTACAACATAGAAGGCCGCATTCAATGCTGTCAGGAAGTCAGTGGTGGCCATTTCTAGCACCCATAATGATGTTGCGCGACTTTGCATGACTAGAAATAAGTCCACTCCGAATTTCGTTACTATAACATGAACGAAATACTAGGTTCTATTCCGACCGAAACACCCAAGACATTGTATGTAAACTTAAGGTTAGTTGCGTATCCTTTACAGGACGTTGCAGAACCAACCTCAGCAGCTCCTGGCTGTTGTGTAGTTTCTCTAGGCAAATTTACGTCCAGTAGTTTGCCATTGCTTCCTAGATGGTCAGCCTCCTGATACCACTGTCGAAACCAACGCAAGGCGCATGGCCCGCAGCTGGGATCGAACCCGGCACCCTGGCATTACGAAGCGTTCGCATCGACCACATCCGGCTTTAACTTTATGGCCTAAAGATGGCCGTGGCATCGACTTAGCCACAGAGCCGACATGTACACTTAGCGTGATATAAATGCCAATCGGAGACAGAGGCAGGCAGGCAGACGAACGGATGGACGGACGGTTGAACGGATTTATGAATGGATGGACAGCACTCATTTACGTTTAGTGCTGTATCTGGGTTCGGTATCTGGCCGGTGAAAGAAAAACAGTAATTAATTACGGACAAACAGCATCAAATGGGCGGTATCGATTCAATTATATTGTTGAATGTTGATAGACGGATCAGAAACTGCAGTAGACGGGAGCCGCCCGCTATTCTTTGCGCCTGCGGTTCTCTCGTTGTGCGTCTTCCTTCGTTCCTGTTTCGGAGTAAATTGGTTACATCATATTTCTCCTCTTTTAAACTTCCTGGACTACAGTACACAATTTTACAGTATTTGAACGAGAAGAAGAAGAATAAGAAGAATAAGGAGGAGGAGGAGGAGGAGAGAAGAAGAAGAAGAAGAAGAAGAAGAAGAAGAAGAAGAAGAAGAAGAAGAAGAAGAAGAAGAAGAAAGAAGAAAAAGAAAAAGAAGAAGAGGAAAAAGAAGAAGAAGAAGAAGAAGAAGAAGAAGAAGAAGAAGAAGAAGAAGAAGAAGAAGAAGAAGAAGAAGAAGAAGAAGAAGAAGAAGAAGAAGAAGAAGAAGAAGAAGAAGAAGAAGAAAAGGAAAAAGAAGAAGAAGAAGAAGAAGAAGAAGAAGAGGAAGAAGAAGAAGCAGAAGCAGAAGAAGAAGAAGAAGAAGAAGAAGAAGAAGAAGAAGAAGAAGAAGAAGAAGAAGAAGAAGAAGAAGAAGAAGAAGAAGAAGAAGAAGAAGAAGAAGAAGAAGAAGAAGAAGAAGAAGAAGAAGAAAAAGAAGAAGAAAAGGAAAAAGAAGAAGAAGAAGAAGAAGAAGAGGAAGAAGAAGCAGAAGAAGAAGAAGAAGAAGAAGAAGAAGAAGAAGAAGAAGAAGAAGAAGAAGAAGAAGAAGAAGAAGAAGAAGAAGAAGAAGAAGAAGAAGAAGAAGAAGAAGAAGAAAAGGAAGGAGAAAAGGAAGAAGAAGATGAAGAAGAAGAAGAAGAAGAAGAGAAAGAAGAAGAAGGAGACGAAAAAAGGAGAAGAAGACGACGAAGTTCTAATAAAACAACTACTACACTACAACTGCTACCACCACCACCACTACAACTACATCTACAAGAACCACTGACACTACTGTTATCGATGGAGAGATAATGTCCAGAGAGACATGCGAACACTTAGTGTTACAAACTGGAAAGAAAAGGCCAATCAGAGAGATGAGTTGAGGCGCGTTATATCTACAGCAATGAAGATTGTGGACTCGGAATGCTGAAGAAGAATAAGACGAATACCGCAGCTCTCCTGCCTTTACAACACGCCTACACGTGGCCGATCTCTTGGAAATCGCAATAACACACCGGTTGTTGATGCCAAAATTACCATAGTTGTCTACCTTTGTTTACACAAGTGTACAGAATATTAGCAGAGTTGCGGTACTTGGTGTAAGCAAGCGGTAACTAAGGGGTGAAATAGGACGCCATTAGAAAGACAATATTTAACTGACACAATGCGTCCGTCCATGACAACCAGTGTAACTGGCTAGGTAATATCGGTAGACATTGTAATGGGATAAACAAAAAGTGTTTAATAAAGACGAGTTGATCGACTTTATTGTGCTGAGTTTTATCCCATTAATATTCTGGTTCGCCCGTGTCTTACCGGGGCCCTCGCGGGAAGCAAAGAATAGTGACACTGCACCGCACCAGGCATGTCGTAAGAGGCCACTTAAGGTAGAGTTGGGCTTGAGGTTGGCTACTTCATTCTGTAAAAACATTTGCCACTTAAACCAACCAACCATGAACAAGTCACAAGAGAAACACGAAAAACCCAGCCAACCAAGGCTGGGGTGAGGTTCTTTTAGTAGAAAAAGTGTGGAACCCACAGGGCATAGAAATAAAGGAAGATACACAGAACAACAAACACGGAGAGGGGAGCAAGCGAGCGAAATTTAAAAGATGGGGAGGACATAGGGATAAGGAAGACACACACAACAACAACAACAACGTGGAGAAGGGAGCTAGAGAGCGAAGTTTAAAAGATGACACAGGGATAGCTGCATGCGATAGAGAAGGATAGACCGTCTTGGCGGGAGTTGGTTGAGGGCCTATGCTCCATCGAGGGTTAGAAAAGCAGAAGAGAGAAAGAGAATACTCTGAATATATATCTATCCAGAGCACTTAGGTGCCGGCGCGAGCGTCGCAAGAAAGATAACTCCGCAGATTCAGCAACGATATCTTCACAGCGCAGGGCAAATTGCTGCACCACTTGGCCACTTATCATGATTTGCCACACCAGTATCTGTCTGTGTGTCCGCCCGACTGTACTACTTCGATTATTACTACTACTACTTCTAGAACTACTACCGCCATGACAACCACAGACTGGGGGAGGAAGGGGCGAGGTGCGACAAGAGAGGAGAAAAGAAAATGGAAAGAGGAGAGCAGTAAATCAGAGAGGGAAGAATTGAAAAAAAGGAAGTTGGCGAGAAATAGGTGACAAGTAGAGAAAAAAAAGGGATGGAAAGGGGGAGGGGGGTGATGGATAGATACGGGAGGGAAAATAAATACCTTAATTAAACATTTCCATTATTTTTATTATGAATGAATATTATTCTTGTTGTTTATATTATTAATGAGAAATTATTTCGTTTTACGTAAAATGATTCCAGGAACAAGAAAACATAGAAAGGAAGAAGACGAAAAAAGTTACAGAAAGATCTAAACAGCGGAAGGTTTATGATGAACGACACAAAGAAGAACAGAAACGATTTAAGCAAGAAGAGAATGAGACCCGTTTGGAAATCCAACAAGCAGAACAGCATAGATTAGAGGAGGAGAAAGAGTGGAAGGAAAATGAGAAACGAATCAAAGAGGAAGACAAAAGAAAGTTACAGCCAGATAATTCAAAGTCGAGACGTCAAAACGAGGTCGCAGCACAGCAAAGAGAGAAGTTGTCGTCCAAGAGTGGAAACAGAAGTAACAGTCGTTCCCTCCTTGAAGAAGATTCGCCTCAGCCAACGGCAAAACCCTCCAGGAGCACGCCCAAGGTCTCTAAGAACCCACAGCCTTCTAGATCAAAGACGGAGTCCAACGACCTGGATGAGCGCCGACTGTCACTGTCCGATGCCCACGTCTACGAGCAGGCAGCAGCCTCGGCAGACGCTCAAGGTTTTGTTGCAGATCTCGCCATGTGTACGATTTGTGGTCGGTCGTTTGTCCAGGAGAGACTCAAGAAGCATCAAGAGGCGTGTGCCAAAGCTCATAAACCCAGGAAGGAGTTTGATTCCGCTAAGAAGAGGGTAGAAGGAACTGACTTGGCCAAGTATGCGGGGAAAGCCAAACGGCGGGAACCACCCGTGAGTAATACTACCTCGTCATTTCATATGTTATATCATATTGAATCATGTCATATATCATATCATATATTATATCATTTATGATATCATATTTATCTTATCATAATGTCATATCATCATTATCGTCATTGTCATCATCATTATCGTCGTCTTCTACTTCTTTTTCTTCTTCTTCTTTTTTTTCTTCTTCTTCATCTTCCTTTTCTTTCTTCTTCTTCTTCTTCCTCTTCTTTTTCTTCTTCTTCTTCTTCTTCATCTTTCTTTTCTTCTTCTTCTTCTTCTTTCTTCTTCTTCATCTTCTTCTTCTTCTTCTTCTTCTTTTTCTTCTTCTTCTTCTTCTTCTTCTTCTTCTTCTTCTTCTTCTTCTTCTTCTTCTTCTTCTTCTTCTTCTTCTTCTTCTTCTTCTTCTTCTTCTTCTTCTTCTTCTTCTTCTTCTTCTTCTTCTTCTTCTTCTTCTTCTTCTTCTTCTTCTTCTTCTTCTTCTTCTTCTTCTTCTTCTTCTTTCTTCTTCTTCTTCTTCTTTCTTCTTCTTCTTCCTTCCTTCTTCCTCTTCTTCTTCTTCTTCTTCTTCTTCTTCTTCTTCTTCTTCTCTTCTTCTTCTTCTTCTTCTTCTTCTTCTTCTTCTTCTTCTTCTTCTTCTTCTTCTTCTTCTTCTTCTTCTTCTTCTTCTTCGCTTTCACCAACTGTAAACTCCGGCGGAAAGTCTTGGTTGTTCGTCCACTTCGGAGCTGCTATCTTATTTCCGGTCTGGTGTTCTGGGTGAATATCCCTTTTACATATCGTGGCTTTTTTTATATGTAGACGGTTGTTTTCTTGCCTCTCACGCAGATTGACGCCGTCTTCGAAGGAAATATCGTATGTCATCGTATCGTATCGTATCGTATCGTATCGTATCGTATCGTATCATATCGTGGATCGTGGTTACTGCCTTGTGGGTGAGCGTGTACAGTTCGGAGGAGTTGATGGATCACCACAGTCTAGTGAGACTGGGGGGGGGGGGGGGGGGGTGACGAGAGGTTCTGGCAGATGCTCGAGGCTCACAGGAAAGGCAAGACGGACGTTTAATCAGAATGCTATTGGCACCATTAGTATAGAAACTCTTCGCTGGCTGCTAAAGATGGGGACGGAGCGCTTAAGGGAATGCCCCGAGTGCTGTGATGTCGGTTTTTGATTTAAATCAAATCAAATCAGTCAACCTGTTGTCTCAGGTGCTAATCAACATGTACACATAACTGATTCGTCAGTCTCAAATGTTGCGTATTTGTGGCTCTGAAGTCGACTATGTCCTGTTTTAAAGCGTAGAATTAAAATGTTAACGATATTATCATTATCATCACGATCATCGCTAACGATGTAAAATTGTCATTTCTTATCCACAGAAGAAAAAGTCTAACTGGAGAGCCAAGCACGAAGAGTTTATCCAAACACTTCGCCACGCCAAGAAAGTCACTCTGTGTGAAAAGGAGGGCGGAGACTTGCGAAACTTAACTCCGCCTCCAGCATCTGTAAACCCAGATTATGTACAGTGTCCACACTGTGGGCGGAGCTTCAACGAAACGGCGGCAGAGAGACACATCCCTCGCTGTCAGACACTTAAGACACGCCCACCACCAGTGAAAGGGAAACGCAGATAGGCCTGGTTTACTCCATATTTGTATATGCTATTTTATATTGTTTATTATGTTATAATGATAATTTTGATAAAAGATATTATTGTTGTTATATATTGATAAAAATGAAGATTAGATATTTTATGAAATGGCAGACAAATGGGTGACAAGCAGCAGTAATACAAACACGCTTTGATTCAACCCACTAAAACAGGGGTTCTCAAACTGGGTGCTGCGAGCTTATGCCAAGGGTGCCGCGGCAATAATCAAGAATTTTCCCAAATCTGCTTGAGAACAATGAAGACAGCATTTTAAACCAAAAATACATTAAAGGAGGCCAAGAAGAGTTCTGGATGCAGGCGTATTGAGAAGACAATGCAAGGCTGCAGTGCATTTTCAACGTACGCTATCATAAAAAAAAAAAAAAACCAGATACGGACCAAACTTTCTGGGTCAAGTGATTTGAGGGTAAAATTAATGTAACTTCCCATATACATAAAGGGAAAAAAATTCCTCAAAACAGTTTTATTTACCACATGACATATGATGTTGGACAGTTTGACAACATGACATATGATGTTGCACAGTTTAACGACGTGACATATGATGTTGGACAGTTTGATAACATGACATATTATGTTGGACAGTTTGACAACATGACATATGATGTTGGACAGTTTGATAACATGACATATTATGTTGGACAGTTTGATAACATGACATAATATGTTGGACAGTTTGATAACATGACATATTATGTTGGACAGTTTGACAACATGACATATTATGTTGGACAGTTTGATAACATGACATATGATGTTTGACAGTTTGATAACATGACATATTATGTTGGACAGTTTGATAACATGACATATGATGTTGGACAGTTTGACAACATGACATATGATGTTTGACAACATGACATATGATGTTTGACAGTTTGATAACATGACATATTATGTTGGACAGTTTGACAACATGACATATGACGTTGGACAGCTTGACAACATGACATATAAGAACATATGTATCGTAACTAGCTGGCAATACATGAGACAGAAGGCTATGGTGGGACATGAAGACTAACGCTATATAGTAATTGATTGATTGGTTTGCCCCGTTCGGGCTGCTACCTAACGGATTATCAGACCACCGTGAGGTTAAAGAACTGCTGGATGATAGACCAGTAAGGCAGATCCTCCAAAAGAGTTATAATTAGGGTACCGGAAGCGACTAAATCAGTCTTGTCTTCTTCTGCTTCTTCTTCGCGTTTACCGGCTGTAAACTTCTGTGGAAAGTTCTGGATATTTGTCCACTTTCGTCGCTCTCCTGTTCCAAAACACTAAATTTTGCGTGCACATCCGTTTTTCACATCTGACTTATCTGTATGCAGACTGTAAGCACATTGCCTCTTAGGCAGATGGACCCCGAGTTCGAAAGAAGCCCTAAGCTAGTTTACTGTTACGACATGTTTTGGGTGAGGCATTCGATCTATTCTGGTTTCCCCACAATGGGGAACCCAAAACCCACACGGGGAAGCCACTATTTGTAATCTGAGGTCTTGAGCTTCATAAGGTAAACACTTGTTTTGATATAAACGCACATAAGTTATTTCCGAGCCGCAAATGTCGATATTTGTTTTAAAATATGTCGCGAGTAGCGAGTTCGCAAATTCTCCTCGTTTTTCGCTCTGAATTTTTCGACCTTGTCTGAGAAGTCTAGATGTCCGATGCACTGTCTCTAGATCCGGAGGAGGATACAATGTTTTTTTCTGCAAGCATACATTCTGGCCATGTCACACAAAATGACTTTTTCAATCAACAAAGACCAGCGAGGACCCTTGAATACTTCGGGTAGATTTTTAAATCCAAAGTTTGCCCGGGCAGCGCCGTTAGGCTACTCTTTTTCGATTTCCAACTGCCAAAGGATTTTGTTACGTGCGCAACAATACACACGGGTATCCGATCTTACTACCCAGAGACCGGGGGGATTATTAGAAGTCCACGTGACACAAAATCACTGCCTTCGCTTAGGCATAAACCCGGGACCTCCAGCACTCGAGGCGGATGCCATACCTTGAGACCACGCAGCCCCCCATGGACATGTACGGAGTGCAATGATCATATCCTAACTAACTAACTAACTAACTAACTAACTAACTAACCAACCAACCAACCGACCGACCGACCGACCGACCGACCGACCGACCGACCGACCGACCGACCGACCGACTGACTGACTGACTGACTGACTGACTGACTGACTGACTGACTGACTGACTGACTGACTGACTGACTGACTGACTGACTGACTGACTGACTGACTGACTGACATAGACCAGAAATTTAGTCAAACAAAAATTCATACACGTTTTTCAAATTTTGAAGATGGTTAAAATTAGACATAGCAACAGCCACAACGTCCCAGCTGAATACAATGTGAAAGAGCCAATCAGCATCGCAGTTAAGGTCAACATATACGAATCACTGGTATTGTCTATTTTTTGTAAACGTCTGCCAAATTCCACTATATTGTTTGTCTGCTAAAGTCCTCTATATTGTGTGTCAGCAAAAGTCCACTATAGTGTTTGTTTGCAGAATTCCACTATATTGTCTGTTACAGTCCACTATATTGTTTGCAGTCTACTATATTGTTTGTCTACAAAAGTCCACATTCGGTCTGCTAAAGTCCGTTATATTGTTTGCAAAAGTCTACTATATTGTTTGTCTACAAAAGTCCACATTCGGTCTGCTAAAGTCCGTTATATTGTTTGCAAAAGTCTACTATATTGTTTGTCTACAAAAGTCCACATTCGGTCTGCTAGAGTCCGTTATATTGTTTGCAAAAGTCTACTGTATTGTTTGTCAGTAAATGTCCATTATACTGTTTGTCTGCAAAAGTCTACTATATTCTTTGTCTTTGAAAGTAGCCAATAATGGGATTCATTCTCTCAAAAGTCCACTATGTTAATTATTTTCAGAAGCCACTATAAGTTTTACTTGTCTTGCTTCTGTTAAATGCGGTCTCTTCGTTGGCCTACGTGCCCAATTTGTGACCCTTTGAAAATACAGCTCGTTCGTTCGTTCGTTCTACATGAACTCGAAACAGCCGTTACTTTTTTACAATGAATATTGCATTTATAATAAAAGTATTATTGATATTAAGCACTTTTTGATGATGAAATATTATTGCATATTTTATCCAATATATGACGTGTGTGTTTTTTTCCAACTTGTTGCTGTTGTCATAAATTAATCTTGTTTGAATACCAATAAATAAACATTGTTTTTCGCACAGACTTTATGACTATCTTTCATTGGCTGATAATATTACTGGTCGGTGACTGACTGACTGACTGACTGACTTTCTACCCCACCTGGACATCACACAAGCGAAAAAACACCTGATGACACAAAGTGCCACCATGTGGATGTGGATCACCGTGGATAGGTCCCAAAAACTGCGTTTAGCCTTTAGGCCATATTTATGCCTAGGCTAAATTGCGGCCCCTTACAAGAGCCAGAGTAGGGCTTCAAATAACGAAAAATTCATCCTAAAAAGGACGAGAAGTAGAGTTTATGTGAACTGGTCGGTTCTCTCATTGGCTGTTTATATTATTAGTCGGCTGTTTTATTGGTTGATTATATTATTTATCGATTCTCTGATTGGCTGATTTAGGGTGATTTAAATATAAGGTTCTCCAATTTAAATACTGACATATTTTGAAAGGCATTTTGTGTTTGATGTTCCTGTACGGATTTCAGGAAGGGGAATAATGGGGGTGGGGGGGGGTGGGGGGGATAGAGCCCCTTACCCCTGACAAGCATGTCATAACAGACGACTAATTAGGGTTATTGTTTAATATTCAGAGTGCACCTGCCTGAGAGACGAAGAACCAGAAGTCTGCATCCAAGTAAGCTAGATTTGTAAAACGGATGCAAAAATTAGGTCCCGGAGCAAGACTGAAGTCCAGAAGTGGATAAACAACCAGAATTTTCCGCCTTTTACACTGTAGACTGTGTGCAGCTAACGGAGAAACCGTATGGTCTTTTCCAGCCTTAGGCAAAACAAGGCTGTGTGGTATACGGACGAGATCTGGACTGCAAGATCACTTTTGTTAAGGCTACTGGCCTCCTCGTTTAAGGTTTTCTGGCAGAAGGGTCGAGGACGAAGGAGAAGAAGGAGGGAGGTGGGGGTTGGGAGGAGTAGTATTAGTAGTAGTAACAGCAGCAGTAGTAGTAGTAATAGTAGAAGTGGTAGCAGCAGCAGTATTAGTAGTAGTAGCAGCAGCAGTAGGAGCAGCAGTACCAGCAGCAGTAGTACAGGTTAAAGTAGTAGAAAAAGAAAGTGAAGAAGAAGAAAAATAAGAAGAAGATGATGATGATGATAATAATAATAATAATAATAATAATAATAAGAAGAAGAAGAAGAAGAAGAAGAAGAAGAAGAAGAAGAAGAAGAAGAAGAAGAAGAAGAGGAAGAAGAAGAAGAAGAAGAAGAAGAAGAAGAAGAAGAAGAAGAAGAAGAAGAAGAAGAAGAAGAAGAAGAAGAAGAAGAAGAAGAAGAAGAAAAAAAAAAAGAAGAAGAAGAAGAAGAAGAAGAAGAAGAAGAAGAAGAAGAAGAAGAAGAAGAAGAAGAAGAAGAAGAAGAAGAAGAAGAAGAAGAAGAAGAAGAAGAAGAAGAAGAAGAAGAAGAAGAAGAAGAAGAAGAAGAAGAAGAAGAAGAAGAAGAATGAAGAAGAAAGAAGAAGAAGAAGAAGAAGAAGAAGAAGAAGAAGAAGAAGAAGAAGAAGAAGAAGAAGAAGAAGAAGAAGAAGAAGAATGAAGAAGAAGAAGAAGAAGAAGAAGAAGAAGAAGAAGAAGAAGAAGAAGAAGAAGAAGAAGAAGAAGAAGAAGAAGAAGAAGAAGAAGAAGAAAGAAGAAGAAGAAGAAGAAGAAGAAGAAGAAGAAGAAGAAGAAGAAGAAGAAGAAGAAGAAGAAGAAGAAGAAGAAGAAGAAGAAGAAGAAGAAGAAGAAGAAGAAGAA